CACCCAGGAGACCCAGGAGACCCAGGAGACCCAGGACTGTATCTGATTCTGGTTCAGAACAAGTCAGCAGATAAAACAGAACCATTCTGTAAATATGGATTAAAGTTTCACTCACCGAACAGAGAAGACGACACGTGTCTGCTGTCACTGAGGTCACTGAGGTCATGGGGGTCACTGAGGTCATGGGGGTCACTGAGGTCATGGGGGTCAGGCACCCAAAGGGTGGACAGGGTCTCCATGGAAATGTCACTGATGTCTGTGCTGGAGACCTCTGGATCTTCAGATGATGAAAACTGGAGAAAGAGAATAAAGACAAGGATTAAAAGCTGAGACTATGTGTGTGTGTGTGTGTGTGTCTTAAGTTTTAGTACTGTATGTTAAAAATTAGAGATGTCCGATAATATCGACCTACAGATATTATCTGTTTGATATCAGCATAAAAATGTAAAATCTCTAAAATCAGTTTCTGTTTTTATTCTGATAAATTAAGGTCTGGATTTGACCAAAGTGTGTTAATAAATGCTTCTGGTCCAGAAACGTTCACCGGTGTGCGATTGATGACATCGTCAAACTGGATTATCTCAGGGATTATCTCAGGGATTATCTCGGGGGGAGCATGATCCAAACTGTTGTTTGAGACAAAGTATTTAAAATAAATATGGCACTTTTCCCCTAACTTCAGTGAACTGGTTTTTATTTTAGTACAATGTTTACCTCAGGAATGCATCCAGACCTTGTCAGACTCGTGTACCCCTGAGTCATTGTGTCACACCACTGGTACCCTGCAGTCAGATGTAACCATCATTCTCCAAAACTGTTATATACAACTGATTATTAATGACATTTATTTATTTAACCCCCTTAACTAGAATGTTTAACTGTCAGGCATTTTGKTCTTTTCAACTCAAATTAAATATAAAGATAAATATGTTGCCCTGACAGTGAATAAGTAATTAAATTAGGATTAAAGTRTACAGGTACAGGAAGCAGCATCCAAAATACATCAGAAACTCACCAAAATGATCAAATTCAGAGAGATTCTGTGTTTCAGACTGGATTCCATTTTGTTTTGTCAATTCCACCATTCTGTCTCAGAAATCATCGGGCCCTACATGTCTCAGTCTTATTCTTAATTTCATTCTTTACACACCTGGAAAATTTTCTGTGTACCCCTGTAATACGCTTGTGTACCACCAGGGGGTACACGTACCCCTGGTTGAGAAGCCCTGCAGTGGGGTATCAAACATCAGGCATAATGTCCCTGACAGGAGATATGTGAGGTCMCCTTAATATCTGTTTGTGATATCAGTTAATATCAGAATCAGAATTTAAGTGTTGAACACTTTCTTCATATCAAACATCGGCAAAAAGTCAACATCTAACATCTTTATTAGAAAGTATAATATTACTAATAATGGTACACAAACCTAAACATATTTGTTCAATATAAAAACTGATAAATAATAAAACATTTTAATTAGTATGTGTGTTAACTGTAACGTCCTGGTGCTGCTCAATAATCCAGGAAAATAAAAAAACAGAAGGTTCTCTAACTGTAGAGTCCTGACCTGTAGATGAGTGTAAACTGTAGAGTCCTGACCTGTAGATGAGTGTAAACTGTAG